TTTTTTTTTTTTTTTCAGGTACGCTAAAAACAGGAATGGGAAGACTTTACAGACCGGAGTTTGCTCTATCATGTGAAAGCCAGATGAAGTTTTGATGAGTTAAAACTTTTTTTGGTAAGTAGAAAATCAAATGCAATATAAATTATGTTGCACTTGTTCACATTTTGTCACTTTACAAACCGTACACATAATGTATTTTGTTAATATTTTATGTAAAGAGTCCACCTTTTATGTGAAGGTTGTCAAAATTTTTCAAATAAATAAATCTAAAAACTATTAATCACCAAGAATCCATATTTTCCCAAGCTCACTGAGTGTAGGCTTTGACTGGACCATTCTAACATCTAATCATGCTATTGGCTAAAATCTTGGATCTCATTTGCTTTTTCCCCACCTTTGTAAATATATTTGAATTTTATTGACCGGATTAAAGTTTTTGGGTTGTAAGTCACCCATTTTTTTTGAAAACCACAAGAAGACAAACAAGGGTCTCCTTGAGCTGCTGTCATCATTTATTAGATGAAAATTTGAGGTTATAAAGTGACAACATGTGCATGAATTCTCATGAATCTCAGTTTCAGCTTATACCAAAGATGAAACCCTTGTGTTTCTGCCCTCTGCAGGTCAGTGCTGATGTTTTGACTCGGTGTGACGCCGTCTTGTGTCAGCAGCTCCTCTCTGCTCAGAGTCAGAGGAGGTTGACCCCCAGTGGACCCGACCGGTCCACGCCATCAGTCTGTGGGGCTTCTTGTCGGAAAGAGTGCCAATAAAAACTCACTCGCATTAAATCTCCAAACATTTATCTAAGACACACACTTCCACATTGCAGACGTTGAGTTTCAAAGGACGGGATGGTGGATCAGGAAAAGAGAGTTCCTGATCTTTTTAAGGACTTGATACCTATCGTGTTTGTTTGCAGCTTGTTTTTTCAAAGGATCGTTTGAGATCTGAAAAGCACAGACAGGAAGGAGACGATAACCTTCACCCACTTTTGTAAATGAATAAAAACCCACATTGTAAATAAATCATTTGAAAGAAGTGCTCACAGCTTCTAGTGAGTGACACTGATGTAAATTTACGTTTTCATTCTTCCTGTAAATGTTTTTCTTTGCCTGCTCAAGCGAATAAATCACAGTCATTATGAATGTTGCAAATATGATTACAAATTGCCAATTCATAGCTCTTGCATGCCATCAGCGATTTAAAACCTAAATGTTTAGTAAATACTTAGTTAAAACACAGTTTGTAATGTGATATTTTTATTTTATTTTCTTCAGTTTGGTGCAGTTATATTGATCTCGTTTGCAGTATATTCTGAAGAAATCTGGTTGGCTCAGAAATAAAAGCTAAATGTGAAATATATGTCATTCCTCTACTTAAACTCATGAGTCAATAAAATCATTAATCAAAAATGTTTCTCAAGTTGTTTTCTGTTGTTTTTAACAGAGATATTTTAAAAAATAACTATATAAATAAATAAAAATATATTAACAAAAATAATTTAAAAATACATATAAGACAAAAAATGAAATATCTGAAATAGGCCAATTCTGAACTGTTGGAATTATTTTCAGTGTTTTTACACTGACTAATGTAAATACTTATTAAAGTACTTAAAACATTTTACTATGTACAATTTGACTCAGGTATAGTAAAAATTGTAAAATAGGCCAAAAAATTATGGAAAATGTAGCAGTGAAGATTTCATCATCCCCTGATACAGTGAACAGAGAGGAGGGTTTTTATATTAGGTATAAAAAGAGAATCAGCAAGAATATTTTTTAAACTAGGACAAAAAATAAAAACTGGCTTAAGAATACCTGAACTTTTTTATTAGAGCATTCATGTACTGGAAATAAACTTTTTTCTTTCCTATTTTCAGAAACTCTTCAGGCATATCTGAACATTTTACCTTTGACCTGATTTAGTGTCTCCAATTAAACTAACCTGAAAGCCAATTAGCAAGCAACACTTCATGAGATCAGATTACATTTAAACTCCAAACACGGTTAGGATTAACAAGAGAGTGTATTTAGAGCGGCAGGTTTCAAAAAACGTGACTTACACTCAGCATAAGACACATTTTTAGAAGCTGCAACAAAAAAATCCCTAATTCAATGTATATAAGTTAAACCAAATATACTTTAGACATTGTTCCTCTTGTCTGCATTTGCTCTATATCTAAAGAAAACTTTTTGATAAAAAACAAAAATGATCTTTTTATTTTGAAATGCTGTAAATAAACAGGTTGTTAGTAATCTTTTTTATTTAAAAGCAAACTAAACAGGACATCCTACCCTTTATCATCCCTCCTCACATCTGGACCCAATTCCTCACCTCACCTAACAGACTGGCTTGGTGAAGTCCAGGGGGAAGACAGACTGTCCATTCAAGCGCAGAAACGCAGCAAATTGGGGGAAAGGTCTCCAAACAGGCTCAACCTTTTCCCATCAGCTTCCAACTCAAATGCCCAGAATCCAAAGTCACTTTGTAGAGGAACATTTTGGACAACGTTATCACAGAGAGATTACCACAGCGTCTTTGGAAAGCCTCATGTTTATTTAGTAAAAACAAACCGAAATGTGCAACTTTACCAATGCTCATGTCAGGGTGCCGAGGCCTAACCATGGAAAAAATAAGAGAGATAAACCGGTGAGAGGTTATTCTTGCATAGAAACAAAGTCCCAAATTTAAGTAGGAAATCTGAGAACTTTAATGGCTATTGGTGTATATTTTTCTCCCTAATGGATGCTTGTGTACACAAAACCTTACAGGGTTTCCCAAAGAAAACTTGTTTTTGAGTTAAATTTTTTTTTATTTGGGAGGAAGTTTGAAAATATCAATAGGTAATTACATGTTACTCAAAGAATTACTAACAATACCTAAACACCAACTACAGACTCTTTAAAAAAAAAGGCAAACATTAAAATGAATAAATAAATAAGCCATTCTTAGTCTGGTGGGAGTATAAGTTGTACTTATACTTTTTAGTATAACAAAGACAGTTATACTAGAAAGTAGACCAAAAATACTTGGTAAGTTTTTGTGTTTTTGCAATCTACAACAGTAGTCCAAAAGTGCAAACCACTTGAACAAACCATTAAAACAACAAATTGAAAAACAGTAACTGAAAAATACCCCTCTTCTGCTTTAGATATTTCTGCATTGTCTTATCAAGCTGCTCCCAAGACTTATGCAGAGTCATATGACAGCAGGGGAGAGCTCCTTGATCCTGGAGACTAAGTGTTACTTCCCCAATGTAGAACGTATCTGCCCTCTTTAGCAGGAAAGAACAACCCCCTTTCCTTAACAATAGACAAATGGTCAGACGATCTAGGGGCTCCACAGAGTCCCTAGTACATCACAATCAGGGATTCACACCTATAGTCCAATCAAGTATTTCTTCTCTGACCAGAACCTAAAAAAGGAAACCAGATCCACTGTTACTCAGAGCAGACTTGACAGACTCCTTTGACTCTGTATTTCTGTTTTCACCTTGCAAGGTTTTAAAGTTTTCCAGACTCTTGTTAAAGTATTTTTTCCACAACAGGGAGAGGAGCTACTCTACTCTGTAGTGCTGTTTGATTCCTACATCTAGAAAGCTTCTTATTCCTTAACATTCCTGGGGCAAAAGAAACCCAAGAAAAGGCACAATCACTTCCTCTAAGCAATACAGAGTTTCAGTCTTCTTTCTGTTCATGGTAATAAATGGACTGCCATCATGCAAAATTGTGCTTTTTGTATTTTTTGATGAGTTTAAGTGACTATCTGTGTGTCTGTACTACTGGAAAGATACAGATTGAATTTTCTTTCAAGGTGATGTTATTGCTCTCTATCCTAATCTTTAAAAAAAAAGTTTGTTTTGTATGCTCTTTCCCAGCTTGTTGACATTGTCAATCAATATGACAACTTTGACCACAGAATTTGTTTTCATTTACACTCTTGCATGAAACTTGCTATATTGACACAGTTATTTCTCAGCAATTAAAGAAGTTCTTTTCATAATTTGACAGAAAGCACAAACATCGGAATAATTGAATAAGACTGGATGTAGAGTTAAACCAAGGAGAGTTGCAAGAAAGACAATTACCTCAGTATATGCTGTGTCTGCTTTACCGCTGACCTATAAGTCACCTAGAAGTTTAAAAATTTAATTGATCAGTTATTTTCTGCCTGGATCAATAGATAGACATTGACCATCGCTGTGGCTTAAAATCCAACTGGACTAAAAGCTACAGTGCGAAGCGTGCATCATCTGTTGTGCAGATGTTGCTTCAGCCTTGATGTGTGTTCTGTGTCCGTTTCACTGAGTGTGCATGACTCATGGTCCTGTGTGACAAAGATCAGACGCATTTCCCAACTCACTTGCCTGACTTCACCCCTCTGTCGCGTGCAGCAAGATTTGGGTCGAAGGGCATGGAGTTTGAGGCAAAGATTGCAAGTACACGCGAACATACACACACACACGAACACGCCAGTCTCTTACCGAGTCAGATGGGTTGCAGGAGTCAGAGCAGCACCGGACTGCATGATTCAAAGGATTGTGTAGCACCTTATCTGGCTGTGGAACTTATCTGTCCGTGTTCAATAAGGGGTATTCCTTGTATAACCACACAATCTTTGTCAGTCAATACGTAGGAGGGACTTTTGTCAGCCACTCATATTTTGATTGGACATTGTTCAAGCTCACCTGAGGAGGACTATGTGCACAGTTACAACTCACCCAATGCAAATCAACCACACATGTGCAGTTTGTATCAGTATTGATGGATATGCCAAAACCCTATTGTTGGAGATTGTCCACACATCAAGCTGTTTACCATATCTGTTTTGGCCCAAATGTGATGTCACATCATCTACAAGAAGCGTTTCATTTCTAGCTCTACAACTGCATGCCCTTTGACACAAACAAGTGTGAATCTCTTTAAAAAAAATGAGTGCAGTACCTCATGAATATGCATCAAGTCTGAGGGAGTTGACGTGGCTCTTCTCGCCCTTAAATTGCAGAATTTCCTCTTGCCTTTCCACCATCAACATTAAGCCAAACAATTTGGGACAATCAAGACTTTGGTACGTGCTTCAAGGTGAGTTGTTGCTTCTAAAACACGTTGAACATTTTCAGGACTATTTTCTCAGAAAAAACAACTTTGTACATTGTTTTTTCTTGATTTTTTTTTTTTTTTTCAGCAGGGTCATCAAATCCAAATATGGAAAGCATAAGTGACATCATCCCTTTCGCCAAGGATCTGCTGCGCCAGAAGCCTACCCGCAGCATGTTGAAGATCTACATGCTCGGCTCCACTCTGGCTGTTCTTGGAATGGTTGGAGGAATGGTGGAGATGATTTTCCTGCCCTTTGTGGAGGATCGAACCATAGAGGAAGAACTGGAACAACTTCTCATTGAAAACAAGAAAAAGAAAGATGTCCCAACAACTGACATTACCTCTGTTCATACAATCTTAATGTCTGAGGCAAAGGTCAAACATCTGGGAACTGCTTTGCAGAGAAACTCAGCCAACCGTTTGCACGCATCTTAGGGAAACCCTTCGTACCCAGAAATGGACTTTGCAGACAGGGTTGTTGATGGCAGTAGTGATAAACCCTGTCACCACATTAAACTGATCCCTTTTTCTGCATTATTTATGTCTTATGTGGCTAAAAATGAAGTTTGTCCTTGCTGTTGACAAAACAAAATACAGTGAACTTTTAGACTGAAAAACTGCAGGATACAGTAATGTCTGGCTGCTGGGCAGCAGATTCTAATAAATGACTTGTACTGGATGTTCAAAGAAGAATTTTTACATGTTTTGTATAGTAATAAACAACTTTTCTTGTACAAGCAAAATTCTACGTATGACCTTTATAACTGTGGGCTAATTCAAATAAATTCATCATAAAATGTAAACACAATAAAATAATTTGTAAACTTCAAATTTAAAGCAAAAAAAACTGTTCACAATTGATTAAATAGTCTCATAAGCTGGAAAGTTTCACAAATCAATAATGTTTTTTGTCCTGACTTAAATAAGTGAGCAGAATCTGCACATCTCAGGTCTTGGGGATTTCTTTAATGTTTAATGTACAATAATTTAGAGTGTTATTTAACCCCAAAACTGTTCCGTGATATGATATTAGACATCAATTCTTCTACAAACATGAAAACGGCACATTAATTTGAGAACTATTGTGACGATCCATCTTCCCAGTGATGGCCTACATCAGTTGTTTTAAACATAAAAAGATACCGTGATGTAAACAAAATATCTATTTAAATTTTAGAAAAAAAATAAAAACAATAATAAAACACATTCTATCCTCGGATGGGGTTAAAAGTGCAAAAATCATAGACTTTGGATTTTTTTTCCTGGTAACGTGTCGTATAATAAATTAGCACTAGATGGCAGTGTTAAGTAAAACTGCAGGTGGATTCAACTTCCGCCCAAGTAGCGGAAACAACGTCATTAAGCCGCACTATGTTTACTATCGGTGGCTACGCGCCAGTCGAATGAGTAAAATACGTTTACACATTTATTTAGCTGAGGAAAGAGAGTTGAAGTGAGTGCAGATGGGGGATTCCTCGGCAGCATCGGGGACGTCGCTGAATTCAAGCGGGGTAAGAGTCGCTCTCTTCGGTCACGGAATGTAACGGTGTTTTAAGCTAGGTAGTTTTAGCTCGCAGGTATACACAGCAGGTATATTTCGCCAATGTCTTACATATTGAGAAGAATTAGTTACTGGAAGTCATACATATATGTACTAATTACTGTGTTGTTTTAATCCCTTTTGGTCATATCCACATATGTTCTGAAAAACATGAAGCAAACTAAAGATAAAGGCTTTATTCAGGCTCTATTTCCTCTGTGCTGTCAGCGGGGAGCAAAAGCAGCCTCCAGCCCCGCAGAGAACTACCAGCTGGCCCGGCGGCGGACCCTGCAGGTTGTTGTCAGCGCCCTGCTCACTGAGAGCGGCTTCGAGAGCGCCGAGAAGGCCGCCGTGGAGACGCTGACGGAGATGATGCAGAGCTGTACGTAGGCTTCATTTGACTGGAACATTTAAAATACTCTAAAGATAACTTTAATGCGAAAACTTGAAATGGTGTTTTCCATGAAATAATCATCAAACTAGATTACTTAAATAAACTAGATCTAGTTTATTTCATCAAACTAGATCTAGTTTGATGAAATAATCATCAAACTAGATCACTTAAAAAGGGATGTTTGCAAACCAGTTTTTTACTTCTCATTAGGAAGTAAAGAATAATCTTCTTGCCAAAACTGATATCCCGACATAATTTTTGCTTCTGTTTCTTCTTTTTTGTTTGGATTTTGCCATGATTTTCTCATGTAATTAAAAAAATGAATTAGTTTTCCTTTTTGAAACATACAAATATGATTTAAACATTTCATTAAAAAGCAGGATGTGATTTAAGAAATGGCAATTCTGTTTTCACTTTTCTGTACAAACACAAACCCTTAGATAAAGAACAAAAATCAAAACTGGCGGGACAAATTGTTTTATAATTGAATATTATTACATTCCTTTTGTCATTTTTTCCCCTCCAAGACATAACTGAAATCGGTCGATGTGCTAAAACGTACTGTGAACACACAGCCAGGAGCGTCCCGACGTTGTCTGACACCGTGGTGACCCTCATTGAAATGGGTGAGATCAGAAATCCACAAACCGACGGCATGAATTTCCCATTGCTGCCAACAGACTTAAATCTGATTAAATTCAAACTGTTTGTAGGTTTCAATGTCGACACTCTGCCTGTGTACGCCAAGCGATCTCAGAGGATGGTCATAACCGCCCGTAAGGACGTTTTCTGTCTCTCATTTATGGTCCCTGTGTGCTTTCCAAACTTCTATTTTCATATTTGAATTTCAGCTCCAGTGACAAACGCACCGGTGACTCCTAAATCTCTGTCTGCTGGACAAAAGCGGACGCATCCGTCTCACATTCCCGGCCACTTCCCGGAGTTCCCCGACCCTCACACCTACATCAAAACACCTGTGAGCCAGAAACCAGTTTTAGAAAACAAATCCTTGAAAATCAAATGAGCTTACTGGTTTCTCTGAAAGTAACTGCTGATTACATTTGAACTTTTACGACTTTAGACATTTCGAGAGCCTGTGTCGGACTACCAGGTAGTGAGAGAAAAAGCTGCCACCCAGAGGAGAGATGTGGAACGAGCACTGACACGTTTCATGGCCAAAACCGGAGAAACCCAAAGCCTCTTCAAAGATGACATCTCTGCCTTTCCATGTGAGCGATGTCATTGTAACACTGGTTATTTTATAGTGTAAATTTCCTCAGTATCTGTATTAGAGACGACCCTAGAACTCACCTCCATTCTTCATATCTTGTCTGTTGAAATGAATTGTTTCTCAAGGTTTTAAGTAGAAAAGGGAATATTTTAAATCAATTCAGCTGTTTTTCTGTATCAAATTGGGATTTACTGATACTAAACCAAAAATATCAGTATCAGAAGTGAAATAAACGTATCAGTGCACCATTAATATGTATATAACTGATTTCAGTGATCGCTGCCCGGCCGAGCACCATCCCGTACCTCAGCGCCCTCCTTCCTTCTGAGCTGGAACTGCAGACTCTGGAGGAGACGGACTCGTCAGAGCAGGACGACCAGACAGACAGCGAGAACGCAGCAGGGAATGTTATCGCTGTAAGTGCTGACAGCTGGAGTCCAACAACATTTTTCAATGATTTTAGTACTTAGAGCTATTTCTGTGGAGAATTTTCTTCATAAAATTTAGTTTTTCTTACTTATCTTACCAATACTAATCTTGTTTTTCTGAACTCATGCAATCTGGAAATCACCCACAGATTAGAGCTGGGTGATGGCTTAAAATAAAATTTCACATTTTTATTATGTCAGCCAGAGAAACATCTTGAAATTCAGAGAAAAAAAAAGTTCTTTATTAAAAAAAAACTTGCTTGTCCTGGACATCCTGACATCATTGTGAGCTTAGAAAACCAAAAGAGTGCGTTGGTGAAAAAAAAATCCAGATGTTCCAAAAGTCTTGAAAAACAAAAATTTGATTAGTTGATCAAATCGATTTATCACCCAACACAATAATATATTAGTATTATTGATATTTTTTTGACAAAATACATTTCCATTATGTTTTTGGTTATATGGTTTTTAATTGCATTTTTTGAGGGAGAATATTTAAAAAATCTTGCAGTTCCAGCGTCAAGTATCAAAATGAAAGCTTTTTGCTCTTTGAGGGCAGCAGACTTGAATTTTTATCCTTGTAAAATTGTCTCAAAACTATATGAATGCTTATTGCTTTTCTGTTTTTTTGTTCACTGTTCTATAGCTATTTTTTAATTTTTTTGTTGCTTATTTTATTAGTTTGAAACAGGTGCAGACATATTTTAACTTAAAACTCTCTTTGCGTCTCAGGATGATCCAAGCGCTGACAAAGAGAACTCTGTGCTGCCCCCTGGTGGTGTCGTTCCATCAACTAAGGCCAGCGAAGACAACGTGATCGACAACCCGTATCTCCGGCCCGTCAAGAAACCCAAAGTGAGGAGGAAGAAATAACCTCACTCTAATGATGAACTCGTTTGCCTCTTTTGTTGCGGCGAAGATGTTTTCTCCTCTTAGAGACGAAACTTAAAACCTGCTGTGAGAGCCGGAAGCAGCCGCTGACTGGTGGACACTGTTTTTCTATGTTTTCTGTACACACCCACGTCATATTGGGATTTGTATGCAACAAATGTTCCATGTCACCTCTGCCTGTTTTTTGTACAAATACAAAAGGCAAGTTTGTTTTTTATTAACTCTTACTGTATCAGCTAAGTGAGGATTTCTGCAGCTTCAGGCGACTCCTCATGGCATCCATGTTGTGAAGTGATTTCATGGCTCAGCTGTAGAGTTAAAAGTACAATCTCAGATAGGCCAGTTTGCCCCTGTGCCTAATGAAGCCATAGTCTTTGGGTACCTGAGGAGAGGAAAGAAAAACAGAAGCTGGTTTTCATACATGTGGAGTTCAACCTTTGTTGTTTTTGTTTCTACATTCATAGTGTTGGATTGTCTTTTAAATACAATGACTTGCCAAAGTAGTGGTGTTTTTTTTTTTTTCCTTCAACGTTTGTTTTGTAAAACCTCAAATCTCTAGATTTAAGTAAAATACAAAGAGTCCAAATCTCTTTGTATTGAAGTAACACATTTGTAAAGTGGGATCAAAATGATGCTTGAGTTTTTTAATATTTTAAAAATAATGTGCAGTTTAGGGCAGCAACTACTGATTATTCTGACAATTAACTGGATTTAAAAAATGGCATTCTGCTGATTTACACTTAAATCATTTTATACAATATTAGAAATATAATAGAAGATGCCAATTACATTTTTAAAGAAGAAAAACATTGTATTGCCTAAAATGCATTGATGGCATTTATTTATTGTTTGCTTGATCATTTGAAGCAAAAGATGCATTTTGAGCTAAAAAATATTTGTAAAATAAAAATAATTAGCACAGTGTTGATTAATTTTTGGATTAAGTGATTAATAATTAGAAGGAATTTTGAATTCACAGGAAATCAGCCACGTTTCATTTCTTTCTTCAATACTTAATACTTTAATACGTTGTGTTGATCAGTTTCATAAAAGCCCAAACAAGAAGCAGTGAAGTTTGTGGCGTTAATGTGAAAAGTTCAAGAAGTATAGGTATATATTTAGTTTTTTTGGTGTTACCGTCACTTTGACAGCCTGCTTGTCCATCTGCGGCAGTTTGGACCAGTCCGGTTTCCCAAAGCACATGGGCCACTTCACCTTCCTGGTTTTTGTTATGATGTGTTCGTACATCCCAGGGCTGAGTCAGGAAGTAACGGCTGTTAGCTCAGTTCAACAATGCGGCGTATTTATGGATCGTCTCTCACCCCGGGCTGACACTGGCAGCGTTTCTGTGCATTTTGAATTTTTCTTCATAAGAACCGAATGGAGCTCTACCGTGGAGAGGAACTCTGGATTTGCTCTGATCTCTCTGGTACTGCTGAGGTGATGGAGTCAACTGGAAACATTCACAAATGAATTTAAATCCATAAAGCTGAAAAGGAAGAGTTTTACAAAGAGCAGGAGTTTTTAGAGACAGACGTCCAATTTCATTGCGTTAAATTACAAAGTAAAGTTTCTTTTCAGTTCTATTTGATATAAAAAGCATTTTTATAACAACTGAAGATAACATAGTTACTTGATTGTGCCATTTTATAGCACAATAAGACTGTCCCTTTAAGTACACAGTTCTCTAAATCCCATTCCTTCGTTCAAAACCATACAAGAGCCTGAAAAATACTTTTCTTTGATCATGAATATTTAATGTGTGAAATTATTAAAAACATCACACTAGTCAGGTGTGATGTTTTAGACTTGAATAACAAACTTGCATTTACACCAAACTTTTCCTAATTTTAAAATTGTCTTTAAAAATTTGCTGATATAAAAGACAATTTTAAACTTGGCCATCAAGTCACATAATTGTTGAAAAACAATTACTTTTGTTTCTGTTCTGGGAATGACTGGAGAATCTGAATGATTCTTTTCATTAGACTGTCTTAGAAAAGCATTGTCTTTAGTCAGAGGCTTATTCCAAATCTTTGTAGTACAGACTGCTTGCTAGACTGCAAGAGCTATTCATTAATATAAGCTACAGCAATATTTAATTTCCCTTTCGGACAAAAAAAAAGTATTTTTGAATTTGATTTCTGTATCCTATGGTGTTTACATTAAATAATGAAGAAATTATTTGATTTTAGCATTTTCATTGTCCATCTAAACCAACACCAGGGACGAAAATTGTGGATCTATAAACTTCAATCCCTTAGACTTGAATGCATGTGCATCATATTGGCTTTGTGATTAAGTCATAGATTCTTAAATATTTATGTAACATAATTCTGATCGCCGCTGCATCAAGCAGTTTTGGTTTTACACAAGATAAAAGACATAAAGAACAGAAACTCATAAGGTAATCTCAGGTCAGCAGAGTGAAAACTCCCACATGTTCTTTATTAAACTGAGCCAATCTCTCTATTTGACTGAGTGAGGGAAAAATCCACCTCACTGTGCCAAAGATAAGAAAACCCATCGAGCTCCGAGCTTCAAAAAACTTTATCAGGTTGTGTTTGTGCAGGGTGTCCATGAGTGCTGCTTGAGAAATAAAATACTTCAGTGTGAAGGATGTTGGTCTTCCACACTGAATGTTGGTCTTGTAAACTGAGGAAAGATATGCTGCTGAGAAGGTGAAGTGTTTTTTTTTTCCCAGCAGAAGAATTCAACAGATCACTTTTCACATGTTAATCGTTTAATTGATGCAGGATGGAGTTCTGAAACAACCTCACCTTTCCTTATCAAAATGGAAAATATGTCTCAGAATCAAAGAAAAATCCTCTGCAGTGTTAGTTTGCACATTAAAACAATAAAACGATCAGTGCAAAGAAATATTACACCAAAGAGAAGACTCTTCTAGATGAAAATCACATAATTTCTTAAAACATCACTGTGACTTACTGCTTAATTCAAGTTTTAATGCATTATAAATGTTTGATTCCACATTAATTTGCCACCCAAACAGAATCTTGCTTTATTTTTGTTGTTGTTGAGCGGGTTAAAAACAACTTTACTTCACTGAAGAAAATAACGTTTTTGGCTCAAGTTATTTTTTTACTTAAATAATATCTGTTTTTTATATCTATATGCTATCACATTTTCCTTGATAAATGTTGACTGGCGTTTCTGTCGATAACTTAAGAGTTAACCGATTTGACATGGAGTATGAATAATACCTTAGAAGGTGGAAAACGGGTGTCAGTCCGGGCAGAGAGAACGTATCCCATATCACTCTCTGGTCTGGTTTCTAGATTGTAAACAATGGTGCGAAACTGTAAAAACAGAAAGAAAACAGCATAAAATTCAACATTACGTAGACTCAAATCCAAATCTCCTGTGTCCATGTAAATGACATCTTTCACATTTACAAAAGATTCAGATTTACTCATTGGGGTTTAATCATCCAATCCACAAAAAATCTGGAATTTAAACATAAACAAGGCGGGCTATAAACAGGCTAATTTCCTTTTTTTCTTCTTTTTCATTTCTATTACTTTTAGATAAGGCTATTCTCTCAATTTAAAAAAAATACAACATAAAATGTGCGCTGCATCTCAGATTAAAAAACAAAACAAAACAACAGAGTAATTTGTGAACAACTTATTCACCTCGTGGTTGGAATAGCAACCCGGTCCGAGATGCGGCGGTTTCCGAGCTTCGTGTCTTTTCGTTTGGTTTCCTAATCGGTCGGGCGGAAAAAAGCGGGGATACAGTTTCCTGTCCTGCGAGCTTCCGAATCTAACTCGACGAGAATGCAACCTTGACATTTTAGAGGCAAGCTGTCAACAGGGAGAGTAAAACTGGCTGAAATGTTTAGGGCCGTTACTACAGTAACGCCATAGTAGCACAACGGAAGTGTGTCACGTAGCAAACGTAGCCGTTAGCTGTGTTCAAATGTAGCAAACGTAGAAGTTAGCTGTGTTCAAATGTAGCAAACGTAGAAGTTAGCTGTGTTCAAATGTAGCAAACGTAGCCGTTAGCTGTGTTCAAATGTAGCAAACGTAGAAGTTAGCTGTGTTCAAATGTAGCAAACGTAGCCGTTAGCTGTGTTCAAATGTAGCAAACGGCTTTGCTGTAAGTCCAGACGAGCAACTTCGACTACGTAATAGAACCACAGTTTGCAGTAAAAAAAAAAAAAAAAACATATTTCAGTTAGAAGACCTCAAAGTTTTGAGATTATCAGAAATTCTCAAAAGTAAATTAATAAATAAAACTTCAAGTCAAAAATTTCCTATAAAAAATTAGAATTTTCTAGAACCCAAAATGTCTGAGTGGCAGAAGTTTAATTTAAAAAGGAGTTTTAGAAAAAAATTTCTAGAATTTTTCTGATTTTCAAAAATGTTCAACTTTCAAAGCTCAAATTTTCACTTTTTTTCTAGGAAATTTTAGGGATTCATTTAAAAATATTTTTTTCTTGGAAATATTTGACAATGGAGTGCTAAAATTTATGACAATCTAAACATTTTAGGTTTTTCCTCACTAACTGACTTCTGAAGCTCAGAATTTTTTTTTCTAGAGCAATGGCAAAAATTTACTCCTTTTCTATTTACCATGGTCTTAATATGCACATTAATGACAGCTCTAAAATAAATACATAAATACACACACACAGATCTTACATATATATATATACAAACATTCAAATTCCAAAATACTTTATTGATTCCAAGGGGAACTTAAATGTTCTTGTAATGTATTAATTCAATATTCTTCCAAGAGTTGTAGATGTTAAATTAGAGGCATGTAGTAGCATTTGCACATCAATCGTTTTGATAAATATCTAATGAGGCACAAAATGGATTAGCTGATAACCATTAGGCTTGCAAGGCAAAGTAAACAGAGCAATTTTAATTTTTTTTTGTTACAAATAATTTACAGTTTAACCAAACATCTTACAACAGTGATAAACTAATGTGGCCGAACCCTGACAAGTGAAAAATAGATATTTTACACAGCCACCTTTTTTTTGTTTTAGTCATGCTCGTATATGATTTAAAAAAAGCAAGATTTGAGGTCTGTAATGTTCCAGCCAGCATTCAGTGAACACATGCATTTTGGCAATAAAGGCATTCTCAGGTGAGAGTGCAAACTGCTTGTTCAGGCACATGTTTCTTTAGTACATAGACATCAAATCAAATTTTATAACATACATTTTGGGACATTAAAAGATGAAGAAAAAAAAGGAATGTGTTTTACTCTTAAAACGTCTGCCAGGCAATTGCGAAAGAAAACTGAACAAAAGCATCTGTGGCCATAGAGGTTCAGACGTAGAAGCAACATGGCAGCTTCATTAGGGACTGAAAAACTGTGAAGTGCATCTTTGGATGAACGCTTTAATCAGACTGAGGGACTGCAATCGATGGACCTTTGGGGTCGTCAAACCGGTCCATTGTGTTTAGCTGCATGATCATATGCAAGCCATACACAAAAATTAGCAGCATGAGCAGCGAGGTGATGAGGCCCATCCAAATCCCAGCCGTAAAGAAACCGGCGCAGTCGCTGGCGTAAGAAAAGTTTGTTCCATTGGACAAACGGAAACCCTGAATCTGCATCCGAAAAAAAACACAACAAATTATTATATATTTTCAAAAATTATAATTTTCTTAAACTGGTCATTAAAATCAGCACTTAGGCATGAGGTCAGAACAGTGTTTTTCAAAGTGGGGGCCGCTAGAGGGCACTGTGGAGAATCAGAAAGTTAAATAAGAAATTGAATCCCATATATTTTTTAATCTTATAAGTTTTGCTTTGCATTATTCAATCATTTTTAAACATAAAACGTAATTAAAAATAATTTATTAAAATTTTGGCTTCTGATTGGCTGAGATTCAAATTAACCAAACCGCTTTGCTCCTCAAACAAGAGATTAAAAAGTTTATGACAAAAACAAAAAAAAGCAGTGGAGAAGAACTGGCGGAATAAAGTAAAATATTAATGTAACTAATAAAAAAATAGTACATACTTCCTTAAAGTCAAATATTTGATCAAATTTTCCACTATAGAACTCAGGGCCAATTAAAATCATAAGGTGTGAGGCAGCATTTATGCTAAATGAATGTAAAAATGACTGATTGGTGAATAAAAAATAAACATTCTAAAAGTTTATATTTCTTTACATATTATGAGGAAAACCGCTATTACCTGGAAGTCAACAAAATTCAGCTTCCACTGAGTGGAGTTTAGGTTGGCTGGGACGAGCAGGGTGTCTCTGAAGCTGCTGACCGACTGGCAGTGGAAAGAATACTCTGCAGGCGCGTAGATCCCATGACTCCCAACAAAAGACGCAGTCTGACCAGATGAATGCACCTGAACCTGAACGGAGTCCAGGGTGAACCAGTTTCGAGCAGAAACTGGATAGAACTGCTGACTCATTGTAAACCTGCCAATTAGCAGAAGAAGAAAAGAAAGTTACTTGAAAATGTATTGAGAAATGATGAATTGATTTCAACAAATGAAAAAAGTATCAAGATTATTTTAGTATAGAAATCTGAAAGGTTTATAGTTTCAGAAAAAAAATCTAATTTTTACTGATATATTTATTTATGGATCAATATTAAGAAATGTTTTTTTGCATCTTCACTTGCAAAAAATGTTCTAAAAAGAAAGTCTTAAGTTTCTACCATTTAACAAATAGAAAAAAATGGTAATTCTAACTAAGGTAAAAGAAGAAAAGTTCAGTCTGATTTAACTGCAGACTCTTGAGAAAAAAAATGTGTTTGTCTTTTCTCAGTGCACTTAAACTGTATAATAACTATAAGAAACTTTGACAGTAAGAACTCCTAAAATGTCTCATTATTATTGTTTTGTTTTTTTGTTTGGATAAATAAATTATTGGACTGTACTGGGTGAAACACTGTAGTTTGCAAAAAAAAAAAACTGAAAAAGGTGCAGCAGTTGAAAAACAAAATATAGTTTTACAATATATTATGTCTACTAATCTGATCAGGTTTAAAGTTTAGACTAAACACATGCAGCCTTATTTTTCCATACAACTTTAAAAAGTTAATTTTATACAGTTACTTTCTAAATACTTTCCATATTTCAGACTTTACAAAAGTCAACTGATGACTGTCATTCAAAACATTACTCAAATAAGATTAAAGTATTTAGTGAGCAGCTTGTTGCCTTACCTCAGAGTGTAGTTCACATAGGTGAGCACAAGCCTACAGGTGGGGAAAAAGCAATACATTTAACTAACTTTAGAATCTAAAATAATAAATCAATCACCATTCAACTGAAAAACGCTCTTACTCCGAATTTGTGTCGTTACACATGGATCCTGATAATGATGATGAGTTTTCTTGAGCGAGGTCGATGAACCCCGATGAGCCTGGAGGGCTGATGAAGAGATTCTGAGCCCACAGCATAATGCAGGGACTTCCAGTCGAATTACTAAATATTATAGGAGCTTTAACATCAGCTGTAGGGGCTTGTAACAAGGTCCGGCCCACTTGCTGGTTTAACAAAGATGACACTGAAATTGCCTGAAAGTTAGAACAAAGTTCAGTGAGAAACTTCTATTAAAAAATCCAGAGCATGTCCAAAATTTAACCATTTATGTTTCTGACAGCTGTGAGATCTTACTTGTGATGGCTGCAGCCCTGTGTATACTGCAGTGTATGCCACATCTTTGGCCTTCAGGGAACTCAGAACTTTCCCTATAATCTCATCTAGTGGCAAAAAAAAAAAAAAGAGTTATATCCATAATACTGAAATCAATCCCTAATTCTGTACTTAAACAGATAACCAGTATTTTAAACATACCATTTTTGGAGAGGACTTCCTTGCATGACTTGAGTGAGCTGCAAAACAAAGAATTGGTAAATCTCTGCATTTCTATTACAAATGTGAGCAAATCTGTCAATGTTCTGATGATGTTAAAAAAACATGATTTTGAAATTGTAGTATTTCCTTCAAATTAGAAATAAAATTTAAATAAGCTTGTTCACGCAATAAGTCATTAAAGATTATGCAGCAGCGGATAATGAAATGTCTCCATGTTTCAGCAATCATGATCTTTCAGCCATCAGAAGAAGAAATGTCTTCGTTTTATTCAGGCACTGGGGAGACAGGCCATAAGCAGTAAATCACTAATCGCATGACAAATTAAAATAAGCTCAATTGTTTCCTTTTGCATGATTTATTGTTTATCTCTTTTCTTTCTCTTTCGACTAAAAACTGGATGACAAAAGACTTCATTATGGTGCTTTGGTCTCAACTAACCATAGTCTTAAAGGACTATTTTGTTTACAAAGTCTTAATAATTTATTTTATTTGTTGTTTCTATTGTTTTAGTTTATTTCTTCCAGTTCCAGTGATAAACATTCATCAGAATTTAATGATAATAGATCTTTGAGAATGTATTTTTGCGTTATTATACCATTACTTTGAAAATGGTCTCAAAACAACATTATCATTTATCATAAGAACTTCTGTAACAGTTTATCATCTAGAAAAATTCTTGTGACAGGCTTTCGTTTGTGGCATTTTGGGAAATTGTAGTCAGATTTCACATTAGAGCTATGGATTCAACACGTTCAAAAGACAATGTTTTATGAACTATCACTTCCTGTTGTCTTCATCGTTTCTGCCAGCAGTACATCTAATTCGAAAAAAAATCCCCCCCTCATCCTACTACAAAATGATTTTTGTTGAAAAATTTTAGTTTTCCCTTAACTGAAGTTTCTATTAAGTAAATTTATTTTCACAATTTCAATATGTGCATTTTTATGGTTAATAGGAATGCAGCTGGTGATCACAAACAGAAATTCACAGAAAAACAAAAGAATCTCACTCGCAAGAGTAAGGCAGATTGATGATCAGTAAATTGCTGATTGATGTGTTGAGGCTCAGGTGAGACAGAGTGTCTGGATCGACAAGGAGTG